CAAATCTCACCCCGTTATCCTGTTGAATGGGCACACTTCAGTGGATTAATTAAATGAGGTGACTGATGGGAGCACAGCCGGGCTGCAGTAACAGGTGTTAACAGGACAGTGGGTAGATAATGGTGCAGTTCCCTGGGGTCACTACCAGGCAGCGCCATTGTGCAGCACCATGGGTGTCATTGGCATGGTCACCCCATTATTCCTTGGTGGTTGTGCCTCTCCCAGCACTCCTGTCTGGCATGGGGAGGCAGCCCTTCCCCCCCACAGCCTGGTGTGGCAGGACACACGTACCCAGGGACAGCCCCATAGGACTGGCATCCAAGGCAGGGCCCCAGCTTTGTGTGTGAGCCGTGAGGGCACCTGGTGCCTGTCTGACACCTCCTCCCTTTGCAGTGATCACCTCGAAGGATCTCCAGAAGCATGGGAACATCTGGGTGTGCCCGGTCTCGGACCATGTCTGCACCCGTTTCTTCTTTGTGTGAGTGCCGGGGCGCGAGTGGGGAGTGGCCCTGCGTGTGGGGTGGGGGCAGCTCCCCCTTTGGGGATGGGATGGCTCAAACTGCACCAGGACGGCCCAAACAGCAAGAGCACGCGAACCATTAGTCAACATCTCGACTCAGCCCCATACGGGAGGGGAGAGGAGAACGCAGTGCCCCTCACCGCCACCGCCCCCCAGGGAGGTCTCCAGGGCCCAGCAGCATCCTGTGTGCCACCAAATGGATGCTCAAGTGCAGCCTCCAGCCCCACTGCCCCCTCCTTCCACACCAGGCCCCCCCATTCATTACCGCCCCCTCTCCCTATGGCATCCCCTGCCCCAGCCAGCCAGAGCGGCACTGGCGGGCAGCTGTCAGCCGTGGGAGGAAGGTGAGCCCCAGAGCCTGCTCCCCTTGGCTCCGCACAGCTCAGGGCCTGGTGCCTGCCAGCTGGGGGCACAAGGGGGCGCTGGGCAGGGAGGTTCTGGCAGGCAGAGCCCTGGCCTGGTGCTCAGCGCCAGCAGCACAGCAGAGGGGTCTGCACTCTGTCACCAGGAGGCCAGCCCTGCCGAGACGGACCCATCTCGGAGCTGAGAGCTACGACCAGACATTGACACCCAGGCCGCTGGCACCCGCAGCCTGGCTCTGCTCAGGGAGGGGTGTTAGCAATGGAATGGCTCCCATTCTGCGACCCCACTGGCAAACCTGGGCGGTTTAGCTGGGGCTCATCTCCCTCCTGCCAGCCCCTTGCCCAGACACAGAGCAAGGTGCCTGTCTTTGCAATCAGAGACCTCCCCCTCTGTCCGAGGGCCTGGAGACCCCAACTCTGCTCCCCTCGATGGGGGTGTGGCCCAGGGAGGGTTATTGCTGGAGCAGGGACATGCTGGTGATGGGCATTCTGGGAAGCTCTGGGTGCTCGCTGAGTCCCCCCTCATGGTGCTTTCCCTGCCTCGCCCCTCCCAGGTATGAAGACGGACAAGTAGGAGACGCCAATATAAACACTCAGGACCCCAAGATCCAGAAGGAAATCATGCGTGTGATCGGAACTCAGGTCTACACAAACTGAGGGGCACCTGTGGAGCCCACACTTTTCACGCAGGGAGCCGGCGAGCCGCTTCCCCTGGTGCAGGCAGAGAGGAGCCGGGTGTCCGAGGCTGCCAAAAGGAGCAATGAAAACACTGGCTTCATGAAGGAAACAGACAAGCGTGGGGGTGGGGTGAGGGCCTCAGCATCCTCCTTGGAGCAGGACTCTGCCGCTTCAGCCAGCACCACATCTGGAGGGCAATGGCTCCGGTGCCACATCTGGGAAGTGGAGGTGCGACTGTGAGTCAGGTTTCCCAGCTGGCTCCCTGCTGCCTGTGCATAGATGTATAGCAGAGAACGCGGCCAGGGCGGGCTTGTTGATATTTTCCCATTCCCCCCCGCCCTGATCACCCTGTATCCCAGCACTGACCAGGAGCCATGGGCACGTCCTGCCTCATGTGCCTGCCCTTGGACCTGGGCGTTGCCCCTGGGCACATGGCCGTTCTCAAGTTTACAGCAATGACATTTTTAACAACAATAAAAACAAAGCAAAAAAAATGGTTTTAGCTTATTAAAGTTCTTTAAAAAACTGTCCCCGACTCTGCCTTTGTGAATGGGCCTCTGATATGAATGTTGTGGCCACCATGAGTGGTTGGGCCATAGAGGGGTAACAGCCTACTACTGCAGCCAGTTAGTGACTTTGCTGGTTTAGTTTGAGTGGTAGCAGGCTGAGCTTCAGCGTGGAAGCTCCTGTGGTTGATACCCACTTCTGAAGTGCAGCAGGGGGTGGTTACATTGGCATTTGAACCCAGGGGCTGGGTGTGTCACTGTAAGTAGCAGGGTGGTGCGGTGCCGATTGGTCTGATCGGAGGAACAGCTGCAGTAGGTTTAGTGGCTTTGCTCAAGGCCTCAGTGGCTCATCCATTCACCAGAGCCTTGCTGGGACAGTGCAGTGAGACTTCCCTGGCATAGCAGTGCCAGCCACAAGTTGTGATGAGCTGTGAGCCCAACCTCTGCCCATGGGGTACCAAGAATGATAGTGCCATAGCCAGTAAGGCTGAGCTGTTTGGTATTCAGCCAGACTCTGTTAGCCTCCCGGGGGCCAGTCATGATTGAGGAAAGTGCCACTGATTGCGTGCCAGCCACATCAGCATAACCAGCATCAGAGACTCTAAGCCCCAGGCCGTGCTGCTTGGAGAGTGGCTTCATGATCACCAGGGGAACATCCCTGGGGCAATGCCTCTTTCCTGGTAGTGTAGCCAGGCTCTTTGATGGGAGTGGAAAGCAGCTCTGCAATGGTGCCTCAGGGCTCTCTTTGCTCGGCAGCTTTGCTACATAATTTGTTCCGTTTACAAACCCCTCAGTGACAGCCGAGGGCCACAACCGCAAACCCCACCTTGCTCCTGCAGCCAGCTTCCCCATTGCCCCACTGATTCAGTGCAGCGGGGACGTCGACCATTCCCAAATCTGAGTGTTGACGGCTTGCCCCTGCTTTGCCCTGGTGTTGAGACGGACACAAGAAGCAGAGGCACCGGGGCAGCGTCGAGCTGGGCTCTTCCACTCAGGCCCACCAGCACTGAGTGAGGGCTGCCTGATCTGGCAAGGATGCCCCCGGCGGGAAGGCCTCTCCAGAGCTGGTGTGGCCCTGCAGGCTAGGAGAGGAAGAATGGCTTTTGTCTGCAAAGCTCTAACATGCATCCGTTGTATGGGCCGCCAGGGGCACAGGCAGCTTTGAAATGAATCAGCTCCTGGCAGCATCAGCAAGTCCCAGAGCTTCAGCCCCTGCCCCACCTTAGGCAAACGCACAGCCCTGTTTCCAGGCCTTCCCTAGAGTCCCAGTTCAGCCAGCGGGTGAAGCTTTAAGCCAGGGGTCGGCAACCTTTTAGAAGTGGTGTGCCGAGTCTTCATTTAGTCACTCTAATTTAAGGTTTCGCGTGCCAGTAATACATTTTAACGTTTTTAGAAGGTCTCTTTCTATAAGTCTATACTACTATTGTTGTATGTAAAGTAAATAAGGTTTTTAAAATGCTTAAGAAGCTTAATTTAAAATTAAATTAAAATGCAGAGCCCCCCGGATCGGTGGCCCGGACCAGTGGCCAGGACCTGGGCAGTGTGAGTGCCACTGAAAATCAGCTTGCGTGCCGCCTTCGGCACTCATGCCATAGGTTGCCTACCCCTGCTTTAAGCACTTGAACTGTCCCATTAAAGTCACTGGCACTAGTCACATCACACACTAAGGATCCAGCTCATAGGTGCTGACTTTTGTTTTTGCCGGAGGGTGCTTTTGAAGAGGTGTGTGTGTTTGGGGGGGCACTCTGCCAGTTTTGGGGGAGGCTATTTTCAGCATACTTATATACTTCTTTCATATTCTAGTTATTGAATGTGTCTCTCACTGGTATCTTTACTATTTTAATAATGATTACATTGTTATGAACTACATAATTACATTATCATGAATTATGGTATATTAAGATCATTGCAATCACAAGCTGTCTTCACTAACGTCCCAGTTTAAAGACATTATGTCTCCCTGTAGTTTCTGGATGAAACTGTCAGCAATCTTATTTACATCTAGGTTCCCTGGTATTATTTTGATGCACGTTAAGAACAGCTACATTATTCAGTTGCGTGTGTCCCATTGATGACTGGAGAGAATTTTTAAATCTTCTGAAGCAGGAGAATGAGCCTGCCACAATTCAGGATGATACAGGCACAGTGAGAAGGATTCTTATGAATTTGCAGTGCTCTGGAAACATTGTGCTTCCAGAGTACCCCAAATGACTCCAAGATCTCTTTCTTGATGGGTAACAGCTAATTTAGGCACCATCATTTTATATGTATTGTTGGGATTATATTTTGCCATGTGCATTACTTTGCATTTAACATTGAATTTCATCTGTCATTTTGTTGTCAAGTCACACAGTTTTCTGAGATCCCTTTGTAATTCTTTGCAGTCTGTTTTGGACTTAACTACCTTGAATAATTCTGTATCATCTGCAGACTTTGCCACTGCACCGTTTACCCTTTTTGCAGATGATTTATGAATATGTTGAACAGCACTGGTCCCAGACCAGTACAAACCTTTTTGGGGGGGGGGGGGGGGGGGGGGGAGGGCACACCACTATTTACTTCTCTCCATTCTGAAAATGGACCATTTGTTCCTACCCTATCTTTTAACTGGAGTGCCTGGGAATGCTTTCAGGATAATCTAACAATCCTTAATTTCATTTAATGACAAGCCTTTTGTTATCTTAATCACCCTACCTCTGTTTATAAACAAACTCCGTGCCCCAAGGGTAGAAGTTGTTAGCAGCACAGAACTTATCACATTCCACACTCAAGTGCTGACTCCTGGGTGCTGACTTGAGCACCCACTATTTTTTTCCCCGTGGGTGCTTGAGCCCCGGAGCACCCATGGAGTTGGCGCCTATGGTCCGGCTGCCCTGCCGCTGGGTTAACCTCCCCGACTTACTGTGGCCTCAGTTTTTGCTCTGGCCCATGTGTGTCAGAGGCATGTCCCAGGGGTCTCTGTGCTATGCAATGCCAGGGTCTTTTCCCTGCCATTTCCCGGAGAACCGGCCGTCCTGGGGGCACTGTGACAGTGTGATCACGCCACTGATTTTGCCTGCGTCCTCACTGCAGAGTGGGTGGGTTGCAGCCCAAGCTGAAGCAGAGCCTGGGTTCTTACCCCCATTCAAGCATGCAAGCACACATAGGTTCAAAGTGTAAGGGCTTCTCTACACTGGCACATCACAGCGCTGCAACTTTCTCGCTCAGGGGTGTGAAAAAACACCCCCCGAGTGCAGCAAGTTTCAGTGCTCTAAAGCACCAGCATAGGCAGTGCACCAGCGCTGGGAGCTACTCCCCTCATGAGGTGGGTTTTTACAGTGCTGGGAGAGCTGTCTCCCCGTGCTCTGCTGTGACTACACAGCCACGTTAAAGCGCTGCCGTGGCAGCACTTTAACATTGCCAGTGTAGACTAGCCCTAAGTAAGCACATGCTTGCGGGATGTGTGGGTGTGGCCGTGGGCATGCGCACACACATGTAGTAGCGTGTGTGTGTGTGTGTGTGTGTGGGCAGGCAGAAATGTGTAGGAGCAGGGGCTACGGGTTCAGTGTAGCCAGCCCCTTAAAGTCAGGTTTGACTTTAGGCACTTGCTGAATCAGAACCCAAGAGACACAGGTCGTTCCATATCCACCCCTGGCTCGGGCCCCAGCAGACAGTGCTGGTGTTTTTGCACCCTGTGTATGACAGAACCCCGCTTGAGGCAGCGTTACAGCAGCATGGCAATTGGTCACCAGGGGAAACCAGGCATGGCTGGGGCTACAGAGATGTCAAGATTGCAGGGCGCTCGGAGCTGCTCTGCTGGACTGAGAGCATTAGTTCTTAGCTGTGAAAGGGATAATATTCAGTGCCTTATTGTATTATTGTATTGTGGTCGTGCCTGGTGTCCTTGGTCCCATTGTACTAGGTGCGGAACAAACAGACCAGAAAAGCTGGGCCCTTGCCCTGCAGCGCTACAGTCAAAGTGGGCTGTCAAAGCACCTTGCAAACCTCTCTTGGGGGATGGAGAAACTGAGGCCCAGAATGGGAAAGGGACTTGCACAAGGGGCCAGAGCAGGTCAGTGATGGAGCTGGGACTAGAACCCTGGAGTTCTGGCAGCTAGGCCCATGCGTTAGCTGCAAGCCCCTCCCCCCCAGCAGCTTATGCCAAGAGAGGGAGCTTCTGGGTGTCCGAACACTGAAAACGTTGGGATTTCTGGGCAAGGGCAGCTCCTGTGTTGAGCTCAGTGGTGGGACGTGCTGCCCACCAGGAATAACAGAAGCCCAAGGCTGTTAATACTGTACTCTATGGCGTTCTGCGCCTGGCATTTCTGAGCCCTTCCTATTGTGACACTGTCCAGCCGGGTGCCCTGGCCCAGAGGCTGGAAATCAGGGTCTAACTTGCTTTAAAGTGGGTTTAACACTTTCCTTTCTGATGATTAATTTCAGGAATCAAAGCTGGAGGCGTCAGGGGCAGCTGGAGAGTAGAGAAGAGCCTGACCTGGGAGGGGCAAAGAAAGATGGTGTCGCTGCACTGCTGGCTGGTGAGAAGTCACACAGCAGCTGTGAGGTGCGGGGGGGAGCTAGGGAGGAGAAGACAGCCTGCAGGAGGGGGTGAGAGGTGTGCAGAGCCCTCTGTGTTGGCTGAGCACCGAGTCTCTGGTCTGTTGTGCTAGCAGCATGACAGAGTTACTGAATGCCGTCGGGATGAAAGGCTGGAGGGCTGATTTGACCATGGGCAGAGATGAGTAGCAATCAAGGTGTGCTGAATTAGCAGGCTGCATTATCTGCTATTAGTACTGGTAACACTGGAGCTCCAATGACAGAAGCACTGAGCACCTGAACAGCATTACTGAGGCAATGACGTTCCAGCCTTCAGCACTTAACACTGGTGACCCCTGCTTATTGGACTTGTGATATTCGGGGCACTCAAGAGGCAGGAGAGGCAGCAGACAGAGGA